CATAGGTGCTCTATTGGACCATAGTGCATGCGTTCTGGACAACTTCGATGGTGATATCAGTCTGTAATCCAATTGAGGAATCCTTTGCCTTTCAAAGTTTCGAAATTTAATCGTCAGACCCGCATAAGCCGAACCCTCCAGCAGTGTCTACTCTTCAGGAGGCAGTACAATATGTGCAATGTTACAGTTGAAGTGTTTGTTAATCATAGATCGTTCCTGACAAGAGATGCTCATTGCTTTGGAATCCACTTCCGGTTTGCCTCAGATATCAGCAAAGATGCTTTGTTTCGTGTGCTTTGAGATGCACTACACCGGAGTGGGTCTCATCGGCAGCTACACAATCAATTTGGACACAATGAAGCAAGGTGTGTCCACCCAACACGTTGTGAATCAGTTGCGAATAAGTTATGAATTAGTTGTGAATTAATTCCCAATAATTTTTCAATAAGTTGTTATCAAGTCAATAAGTTATCAATAGTTATTAAAGTTGTAAATAGTTAATAAGTTGTGAATAAGTTGCGAATCAGTTGCCAATAAGTTGTCAATATATGTTGTCAATAATCGAGAGCGAGTTTTGAATGCGTTTTGAATATTTGTAAATGTGTCCGATGGTTTGCTAACAACTTGCCGATTTACGAGTATGTGTGATGGAAGCGTGTTTAGAGGTGTGTGTGCTATTGCCAAGTCTACCTAGATTTCGTATAAAAGTGCTACCGTTGTTATCGCAGACGATAGTATCGACCCCATAACAGTCGCTGTATTGTTTTTTGGCCATGGAATGTGTCAGCACAAAACGTCAGTGAAACTCATAGTGACTGACCACTGGGCGCACCATAGCGATAATCCAACAAATAAAAACTGCTTATGTCTGGGAATTAACTCAGTTGGTAGAGTGCGTGCTTTGCATGCACGAAGTCGGGAGTTCGATTCTCTCATTCTCCATTTTTTTTTTGCTAAAGACAAAAACAACCTAAAACTTTAAAACCTTAAAACCCTAAAACAGGTTACCGCTATGTGTATTTGGAAGATAACGAGGGCACGGCTCTGTCGCCTGTGGCGTTGTTCGTGCATCTGCGACTAGAAACAAAGCCAGCCTATGACTATCGCAAAAATGACGAGGTGTGTGTGAGTGAGCTGAATAACATTAAATGGACATACACTCAAATGCACCACATGTCCTGTGCTGTTACTGCAGTTGTATTCTGTTTTAGGCTTTTCACATCATCGAATTCTTAAACCATTCGGGTTCGCCACGCCTTCGTCTTTCGCAATACTTAACTCTTGACCTGTCCCCAATGTGAACAGGCGCGGCAGAAAGTGGCAGCCAGGGCCGCAGGAACACAGGCCCCTCCCAATGCATTAGCGAGTAAAACGTCAGCACCACTTCACCATAGCAACAGGTAACTATCAGATCGGTTTTAGGGGTTAAGGGGTTTAGGCAGATATGATAGATATGACAGATATGCTATAACTCTAAAACTAAAACTCTTATCTGTCATTGTTCGGAAGATCTGTGCCTCATTTGGTGGGCAATCTCACGTCTGCAGCCAAATACAGCGCTCTCTAAGTATCTCGCTTGTTGAGTTCTGCTTTACCACTGTCATTCACCCAACTTAAGTCCAGCGTACAAGCATGTAATGAACGCTAATAGCAACCGCTCGTCCCCCACAGCGTACCCGCCCAACACTACAGCCCCACCAATGGCCACGTCAACGGCAACACATCAGCACATAGGCAGCAAGTAAGCAATGGACTCTACCCTATCACGATTGAAAGCTCTAGGGTTTACACTCCTAGTTATGATTGAGGGTTTTCGGAGTTTAACTTTCCCACTACTTCTGATTGAAGTGGTGTTGCTGTGTGCTGATTCATATTGTCTCTACCCCATTGTCGTCGTTTATGTAGTAGTGAATGTGTGTGTGTATGGCGCTTGGCCTTATCATAGAGGTGTGTGTGAGTTGTTACAGTTGTCCGCGTGTCTTTCTGTGTAGGGCGCTAATGTACCATGGGGTGGGCTCATTTGATAAAATAATATCATTTTGCCACAGCACAAATACAGTGCATAACTATAATCATAGCACATAAACAGTGCGTGAATGTGGTTTATTCTGCACATAGCCCACACACGCAAAATACGACGTAGGTAAGAAAAATACAGGTGTGACACGAGAAAATCCGACGTATGATCATCCATTTCGGCGGGCGTTTGGCTGCGTGAGTGGCGTGCTTGTATTTATCAATTGTTATCGAAAACCTGTTGGCTTTCAATATATGAGAAAGTACAAATACACGACACCTAATTAGATAATGTAGACAAGTAGATAGTACAATGGTAAGCACAAGACACCTGAGAAGTCTCTACCCGACGTGTGCAATGTGGTCATGTGAATATGCGCAATGTTGCAATGGTGGATGTGTGTGTGGGAAAACAATTTGTTTTAACCCACCACACATCTATGCCATCGCACGGGCTGTCGAGTACGAAGTACCTTCACTGCACTTGCTTTGGACGGCGTTAGGGGCGTATCAAAGGGCACACCAAGTGCGTAGTATGACTTAGAGTTGCTGTTATAGTGATAGTCATTGGCTTGGAGGGAGTTTTAGTTGCTGTTCTAGTGATAGTTGTTGTCTTGGTATGATTTAAAGTTGCTGTTATACTCATATTCACTGGCTCAATAAAATTTATAGTTGCCGATGAGACTGACCTGAGTGACCTTTTATATATATATATATATATGAATTTATATATGATCGGGCTAAATATCGCTCACCCGTCACATATGCTCTCACACTCTCCTAACAGAGCTACAACGCCCCTGGGTTTATGATGCCACCACCCGCATTCCAATGCTCACCACAGCCACCACAGCCACCCCACGCACAACAACAACACCAACCACCACCATTGCCATATGCACAACCACAACCATCACCACAAGCACCGTCACACACACACGCACAAAACACACAGCAGCCTCAACAGGCAAACCAATACCCCCCACAGCCACATTATGCCCCTGCTCTTCCGCCCCGGCCATCACCTCGTGCGCAACAGCCAATCCAACCGCAGTACCAGTACGCACCTCCGACTGCTTATAGCTATGGCGGTCCACCACCCCACCCCAATGCCCCAATGCCTCGCGGTAAGTGGAGTTAGGGTTTAGGGTTATGCACACATGCCATCCACATCGCAACCACGAAGGGTGTAAATTTACTGTTGTTGTCCATATGTGTCGTTTGCAGATGAGTCAGAGAGGTGCACATGGTGATACAGAACATAATTTTCTCTCATCGTGTGTATATATATCATATACAGATAAACAGGGGAGTGCATAATCGGTCCTAGACTCCATTGTGTACCTTCTACGTAATAATGATTTTATTCCAAAGCGTGCAACAATGCTGTGTATATGCAAATCTACCTACACACATGTGCCTGATTATTTTAGGGGGTTAAGGTTTATTCACATTCGGTGGCTGCATATCCCCGCATGGTGGTGCTGTGCCGTCGTATCAAGCTATCAGTCGTTCCTCATGACACCACATGATTCCTCCGATTGAATTCTCGCCCGGCTGGCACTAACACTTCAGAGATCCGAATGTTGTCTTCACCCACACCATTCCGCCAAAATATTTTATTACTGGCTACAACCTTTCTGACTGTCTCTATTGTTGGCCGTGATTTTGCTCACTCCGTTATAATCGTCTATATATATCGCTTTCCACGCACATGACCTCTTCACGCATGCAGGCTATCAACCGAACGAGGCTTCCCCTTCGCCGGTGCATCAAACGTTGCCCCATCCATCAACCCCACACCCACACCCACAGTCACAGTCATATCAACAGCAGCGTCCACCCTCATATGGACTTGGGCCCGAATCACGGCTCACTCACAACCCACGGCCACCTCAACACCACAGCCCAACCACGACTGTCGCCTGTCCCTACTGCACTGTGCAGTTTGAGGGCGTCGCAGGCACCACCATGACATGCCACGTGTGCTTGGGTGTGTTCACAGGATGATGTGCACATACTCAGCACTGCAGCACGTACGTACGACTAGGTCACACGCTGTGTGCACGGGGATGTATCAGAGGATGATATAGACCTAATGGACACTGGTCACTCACTGCCCTCGTGCATTTCTACGGCGCCGTTGAGTTCTCGAACATGGTAGGCTAGTAGGCAGTGCAGTAACATTTCATGTATGGATCAGGTGTTTATCTGGCGATAAGCGCACATCCAATGAGTTAAGGGTAGCTGAAGTGGATGAATGTACGCAGCCACTTGTGCCTTTTTATGGCGATCTATGGGCAAACAGTTGTGCCGTTCTACGAAGGCCTGTGGGAGTGTATCATAGCTACATCCTAGCAGCCACTTGTGCCTTTCTAAGGAGATCTATGGGCAAACAATTGTGACGTTCTACGAAGGCCTGTGGGAGTGTATCATAGCTACATCTTAGCAGCCACTTGTGCCTTTCTATGGAGATCTATGGGCAACAATTGTGCCGTTCTACGAAGACCTATGGGAGTGCATCCTAGCAACTACTTGTTCTTTTCTGTGGAGATCTATGGGAAATCAATTGTGTCCATCTACGAAGATTTATAGGAGTGCATCCTAGCAGCCACTTGTGCCTTTCCATGGAGATATAAGGGCAAACAATTGTGCCTTTCTACTAAGATCTATGGGAGTGCATCATAGCAGCCACTTATGCCTTGCAATGGAGATCTATGGGCAATCAATTGTGTCTATCTACAAAAATGTATGGGAGTGCAATATAGTAAGCACATTGTTCCTACAGCCACGTCAGATACACATACCTGCCCTGTATGGGTCTGTGCACCAGTTAGCAATCAAGTACTCGTGTTTTGTGTTTGTCTTGTTGTCTGGTAGATTATCGCTCTACCGACACACTGTGTGTGTATAATGAGTGCGAACAAGTGCATCACCCGGAGAAGTGGGACCAACGCCACATATGCGGATGGGCATGAAGGAGGACGCTTCTATAGCGCCATCGTGATCGTGAGAAGTATCTCGAAGACTGCAAGTGGCCACTTGGGTTTTCGGACCGACGGCAGTGAGATGTAGGTATGAGCTGCGACTGATTTAGTTTGTAACTGGTCAAGAGTCTGAGTCAATGAATCAGCTTGAACTATACCGCTATATGCTAGAGTAGTTGTCAGTTAACAAGTATATCTTGGTGGCGCCAGGAGATTAGAAGATTAAACGAATCGACCTGACAAGACATCCATTGATTGAAGTGCACGGGGAGGAGTACCTCGTTGGATCATAATTCGCGGGAGGTCTATAAAAAAACGGAAAGTCACGGCCAATAGAAAGAGCATCTAGCACAATGATATCTGTCATAGCAATATAATCCCAAGCATCAATATGATGATTTAGCACCATGTTGTTCGTTTCAGTATTCAATGATCTCATAGATATATATATCTTCCCAAAAGCAACCTTGCCCT